GTTTCACCATGTTGACCAGGATGGTCTCGATCTCTTGACCTCGTGATCCACCCGCCTCGGCCTCCCAAAGTGCTGGGATTACAGGCTTGAGCCACTGCGCCCGGCCTGGATATGAAATATTAATAGTGTATAGCCAAAATTTTTAAATCTTAAATGCAACCTATTTTAGCTCTCCTCTTTACTTTAAAAGTTATATTTATTATAGATAAATGAAAATATAGAACTATAGATACTATAGTGGTTCCTGACTTTGGATACCTAATATTAATATATTCTGCTTTTAAAACTAGTATTTTAGTTGTAATTAATTTTCCTTTTTTTTTTTTTGATACAGAGTTTGACTCTGTTTCCCAGGGTGCAGTGGTGTGATCTGGGCTCACTGCAACAATCACCTCCTGGGTTCAAGCGATTCTCCTGCCTCAGCCTCCAGAATAGCTGGGATTACAGGCATGTCATGCCGCACCCAGCTAATTTTTGTATTTTTAGCAGAGACAGGGTCTCACCATGTTGGCCAGGCTGGTCTTGAATGCCTGATCTCAAGTGATCCGCCTGTCTCAGCCTCCCAAAATGCTGGGATTACAGGTGTGAGCCACTGGGCCCGGCCAAATTAATTTTCAAATATTAAAAACCCATCAGAAACCTATCAAATGTTTTCTTTATTTCATATTAAAAACATATATCATAGAGATATAAACTCTTTCAATGATAGCAAAGACTGGAGATAAATGAAATAAACAGATTTTTTCTTTTTTCTTTTTTTTTTTTGAGACTGAGTCTTGTTCTGTCACCAGGCACCAGGCTGGAGTGCAGTGGCGCAATCTCGGCTCACTGCAATCTCCAACTCCTGAGTTCAAGCAACTCTCCTGCCTCAGCCTCCCGAGTAGCTGGGACTACAGGTGCATGCTACCACGTCCAGCTAATTTTTGTACTTTTTAGTAGAGACGCGTTTTCACCATGTTGGCCAGGATGGTCTTGCTGTCTTGACCTCATGATCCACCTGCCTTGGCCTCTGAAAGTGCTGAGATTACAGACATGAGCCGCTGCGCCCGGCATAGATTTGATGTTCATAGCATTTTTGGATTCATGATAGAACTTGATAGATACCAATGGTAATGCAAAGTTAAAGAGCTAAAGGTTAAAAAAATTCAGTTTTTTTCCCAATATCTGAAGTCACATTTTTCAAAAAATCCTAAAATGTAAATATACGTTTCAGCCTCAAACTCCTGGGTTTGAGTGATTCTCTTGCCTCAGTCTTCTGAGTAGCTGGGAATACAGGTGAGTGCCATCATGCCTAGCTAATTTTTAAATTTATTTATTTATTTTTTTTGGTAGAGACAGGTTCTCAGAAAGCTGCCTAAGCTACATTAAAGATTCTGGGCTCAAGCAATCCTTCCACTTTACTGTCCCAAAGTGCTGGAATTATAGGCATGAGCCATGGTGCCTGGCCAAAACCTGAAATAATAAATTGTCAGGGTGGTAATCTGTTCATAATTTAAAATAGTCATGTGGCCGGGTGCAGTAGCTCACGCCTGTAATCCCACCACTTTGGGAGGCTGAGGACGGCAGATCACTTGAGGTCAGGAGTTCAAGACCAGCCTGGCCAACATGGAAAAACCCCATTTCTACTAAAAATACAAAAATTAGCCAGGTGCAGTGGTGTATGCCTGTAATACCAACTACCTGGGGGGGCGCTGAGGCAAGAGAATCGTCTGAACCTGGGAGGCAGACGTTGCAGTGAGCCAAGATTGCACCATTGCACTCCAGCCTGGGCAAAAAAAGCCAAGCTCCAGCTACAAAAAAA